ATTGAATCGGTGCTTGGCATTGGTTGAGTAAATCTCACTCATCATCTTTAATTAGCATTAGAAATGCTTTATCTGTACTTTGCCTGAAAATAAACCAGATGGTTTAAAATGTCTGTGCAGCACCAGCGCAATGTTCAAATGTTGGGTGTGCGGGGTTTGGCTGTAGAGTCCAGGAGAAAGGGCTGGAATCTGCTGTGCCGATGATCTAATAATGGCTGTTGTTTCATCTCAGAACAAGCAGGCAGTGACAGTTCAGGGAAAAGGTGATTTATAGACCACAGTCACTGTCATGGCGTGTCAAAACTGGCTCACGGGAGATCTGAACGAACAGGCAGAAAACAAAAGAAAGAAAGAGAAAAAAAGAAGAGGAGAAACTTGCAAAGCAAATTCAAGAAAGACCTTGAAATTCTTTTCTGTAGAAAAAAACACATAGCTGCTGCTCTCAAGATTTGCTTCTTTCTTTCATTACTGATTTATTCTGCTAGCAACTATCATTTGCCCTCCCTGATTCGCACATACTGTACTCGTAGTGGCCTAATGAAGCTGAGCCAGAGGTAAAATGTACTGTCTGTGTGACCCATTTAAAAAGGCTATTAACATAATATGAGTTCAAGTAATTGCAAATTACTTGGAACATATGTGAAAGCCCTCAGGACTGTCAAAAAGTTTAGGAAAAGGTCATTTATCTTAATTTATCATTTCTAAAGAATCCAAAGCAATGACACAAACTCTTTGCAGTAACAAAAGAGGAAGAAAAAAAAGTAAAATAAAAACGTTGTCTGCTAATGTAGCTACCAGCATGAAGAGCAGACTGTACTGGCCGTTTTGTTTTCCCCGACTGGAAGAGTCGTGGAAGCTGAGAAGGTGGATTTGTACAACACACGAGCTATTAGAAGCCCTGGAGCTATTGCGCCATATGGTGGACTATTCCATGTGGGTTAGGAGCAGGTGGGGCTGGGCTGGGGGGGGGGCTGTTAGGTAGGCTTTTACATGTCTGGTCAAGCAAGCTGCAGGTTAAATTATTACTAGCCCACTGTATCCGTGGTACACTTGTGGAACTCTTTACACTTGTGGAACTTTGTATTTTGTTGTGAGGTGGTGGTGATATAAAACACGAACTCTGAAGAGTTTACCATTTCTCAAACTAACTTAATTTTTTTGTACTTTGGACAAAGTAGGTCTCAAGTTATTTCTCTTTGTGCAGAATTATATGAAAAGCTCTACTAGTTTGGTAGTTATCTTGAGGCTGAGAAGGGACTGTTGGTCTGTGCCAGTTTGCCTCAGTGTGCACCGTCCACAGAGTAGTCCAGAGAGAGTGTCAGGTCGTATGAAACCACAGCCACGGCTATCCCAGAGAGAGAAAAAAAGACCAAGAATGAAGAGGACGGGGGAGAGCGGAGAGAGACAGAGATTGCCTGACATACTAAGCATTACCATAATTGGCTTTTCTACATGATAGGACAGAGGAAATAATAATGTCATTTTATTTACAGCCTTCTCTCTGCTGAAACACACACACACTCATGTACGCCGTACAGGTCAATGACACACACTGATCAGGCCTGTCCAAAGCCATCAGAGGTGAGTGGCAGGGAATGGAGGGGCCGGTGACAAAGCGAAACGGGAGAGAGAAATAAGACTGCCACGCCAGAGCTCCCATTTTGAAGGGCCGCTAAACTGTGTGAGGGAGCCTCGGCAGCCGCCCCGCTCCGAATGCAGAGCTCGGCCACGCAGGGTAAATCAGGCGGGTGAAAGCTGGCGAAATTGGACATTAGCACTGCAAATGAGAGCCAGGATTGCCCTCTTCTCCGAGACAACAAGAAAAAATGAAGAAGATTTAGTGAGGAAAGTGTGTGTGTGTGTGTGTGTGTGTGTGTGTGTGTGTCGGGGGGGGGGGGGTTGTTTTGATTTTTCCATGTCATACTTGACACCAAGTGTTGCTGGATTTGACATTATAATATAAATATACTGTAATATTTTGTAGTCAAACACAAACTTAAAGTGAAAATAAAAATCAGAAGTCTCAAGTCTCAAAGTCAATTTTTTCCCCACTGTTTTGCACGCTGAGGCACAGTTGTAATGGGTCAGCTGTTGTTTGAATATTTAGACATCAGTGCTGATAAAATACCTCAATTTTGTTACCAATACCAAAACAATACTTTTCTTAATGCCTTTCTTTGAGGAATATAAACTTTTTTTTTTACGAAAAATTATGTATTTGCATGTGTAGACCTCACAAAGCTTCCTGCCTTGGGGGAGGGATGTAGTTTGGGGGAGAGGTGTGTATGTGTGAGAAAGTGGGTGAGAGAGAGAGAGACTGGGGGGGGGGGGATATCCTACTGTGGTGTCACCTGTCTGTAGCAGGAAATCCTGGACTCTGGGCACAACAATAGTGACAGGCTCCTCTCCAGACGCAGATGGCTTTGCTCCCCCCCCCCTTCCCCAAGCCACATTGCATCCCTGCATGCACCTGACACACGGTGACACTTGACACATACACACACAAGTGATCAGCCACACCTATCTTACACACACACCTACAAACACGCACACATGGCAGAAATTTCACTGCGTTCTCTTTCCTTCTTAGTTTGTTGGATGCTGTTTAACTTGTTTCCCTGTCATGTTTTTTCTGTGATGCGCACACACACACACACACACACACACACACACACACACACACACACACACACAAAAGCGTGCATACACACGCGGACACACACACCTCTTGTTCGCTGGCCTAAACACATCTTTTCTCCTGTCTTTTCAAAACTTCCCCTCTTTTCCCTATCCTCCCTGACAGCACAAAGTGGGCTTACGTTTTTGACTGACAACCACAACAGACACCTCTCTCCCCACTGCTCCCCTCCATCCCCGTTTTAATCCCCTCCCTATCCCTTTCTCCCTCCCTCTCCTCTTCCTCTTTTGTTCTGAGTGACGCTCGAAAGCTGCCGTGTCAGCATCTTTTCCATCTCTGATTGCCTTATTAGCCGGCGGTGGCACCCGCAGCTTTTCTGACACAGATGGTGAAGGAGGAGGCTCGAGCGGTGGGTGGGTGGGGGGGGGGTGACTGACTTGTGTTTGTTGTTGTTACTTTCCCCTCCTACCTCTTCTCGGGCTTGTTTGCGTGGACACTGACACCTCGGGCTGACACTGACACACTCCTGACACTGATGCCTGTCAAGGCAACATACGGAGGATGGCAGGGAAAGACTAGAATTTAGTGTCAGGGTGCTTTCTGTGTGTGAATGTGTGTGTGTTTGTACTGCTGTCAGGTTTCTCTCACTTTGTCAGCTAAGCTGCTTTGTCTTTAACTACTCTTACCACATTGACTTTGAATAGGTTCGGTTTTGCATTTATCTAAATACAGTGGGCTGCATCTTGATAGAGAGGACGAGACAGGTTGAAAGAAAGCTGTGCAGCTGCGTTGGCAAAAGGTGATTTCACTATAGCCTGTGTATAATTAATGCCGTACAGTTAAAAGCACAACTAGCACAGGAATAGTTTAATTAAGAAGAGGGAGGTTGTACATTCTCTCTCACACACACTTTGACACACATACAAGGCAGAGAGTTGCAGCTGTTGGACCTCCAGCTTTTCCCAGGCAGCAGTAACTGGCACCTCACAAACATCAGGTATTATGTCCATTCCGATTATGGGATAGAGAGCTACATGCTGTTTGAAGCTGACAGCACATCTGCTTCCTCACTGGAGACTGATTCTGGCACCTCAGACAAGCATCTTACGAGGAATGGATTGGGGGAGCTGCCTTAGCACATTTAACCCTCTACTTTTCCCTCTCATTGCCTCTCTGTAATATTTCTCTCTTAATCTGCTTCCAGGATCATGTGTAAACCTTTTCATCTTTCTACTATTGTCAGGAATTATGCTTTTAAACTTTATACATTACATTATCTCTGTCATGTGGAGATTAAAAGGAATTGTAATGAAGATTTTTTTAGTTTCTCAAACAAATGATTTGTGAAAATTGTAGAGAGTTACAGGGAATGGGCATCCATTTTCCGTTGATACTATAAATCTCTCTCTGTTCTTTTAAAATGGCACACTTGAAGCTGGGAGTACTCAGGGAGCATAGGCAGTAACAACACAGCTTGTCATGTCCACTGGCCGTTTCCTAGCATCACGCTGTGAGGACTTCCACAGCCGATGCCAAGTTGACTCCAGCCAACCATGGCTTGGCAAGGCTGATGGAGCTGGCATTTTCCTCCACTATCTCTTACTTGTGAATCCATAGTATGTGTGGCATGTTGGACGAGTAGAGCAAATCAAAGTCAGGAACAGATCTGTGGACACTATACAGCAGCAAAATAGACAATGAAATAATCTGCATAGACTATATGGCTGTAAGCTACTCTGGCATTTTAATTTTCTGATAAGGAAAGTGTTTTATATTTATATATACTGAAATGATGCGCATATGCAGTAAATTCATTTTATTAATTCATTGTTATCATTCAGTATGTGTTGAGGAAACATCAAAGTTAGTCTTTAATAGATTAATCAATGGGGCAATTTTTGCAAAAAGTAATTGTTATATTTTTCAATTGTGAGGAGACAAAATGTCTTTCTATTGTGAAGTAATAGATCTCACAACATGAATAATACATATTATCTACTCTGTGAATTTGTTCTCTATAATTTGAGATTTTGCTTGTTTTTTAACATTTTTTAACTAAGCAGAAACATTTCTGGAGCTCATCTCCGCTCTCTGCCCCTGCTAAGCTGTAGTGTTCAATAGCTTCATTAGGCAGTGCAGTGAAGAGGACTATCTGTCATTGTCAAGATATGGATGTTTGCCACTTTGTTATTGCAAACCTGTGTCCTCTGCTGGGACTATTGACAAAAATCTATTTAGGTATATTGTATACACCACCTTCACATAGTAAGGGTGGTATATGCATAGGTGGTGTCATTCTGTTGCATCAAAATATGTATAAAATTTGTCTAATATCACTTTCCCCCTCTTTTTTGTTTTCCAGCTTATGGGCCTGAGGACGAATTGAAAGTGGATAAGATTGATGAAGAGGAACATTTGCAAGATGACGGCCTTTCCTTGGATGGTCAAGATGCAGACTATCTTTTCAATGATGACGAGGATGCAAGAGATCATTATAGCTGCCAAAACTCTCCCCTCAGCAATGGCACTAACCCAGACGCTGGGTACGCCTCTCCACTCAGCACCACCAGTGATCAACTGGTGGACCTTAAGACCACGTCCTCTTTCAATTGTCAGGACAAGGTAAAGGAGAAACTAGGGGAGAACACAGAGCCCATCAATGGTCTCTCACTACAGGACAGTCTATCACAAATGAAAGCAGTCTATGCAAACCTGATCTCTGATGCCTCCTGGTCCAGCATTGCTCTGGACATGCTTAAAAGTAAACAAGGGAACAATTATGCAGTTAGCAACGGCAATGGGAGCAATCACAAAGGGAGCAATGGGTTCTTGAACAGTCACAGCCCCAGCAACATCCATTTGAAGAGCAGATGTAGCACTAGCAACGCCTCAGCCACTACTAATATTACCACCAGCAGTGCTAGCACCAGAACAGTGTCAAGCAACAGTGGCACTAGTGTAAGCTCTGGTAGCACAGGAGGATTAGCCTATGACTGGCACCAGGCAGCGTTAGCCAAAACCCTACAGCATACCCCATATCAACTCCTTCCTGAGCCGAGCCTTTTCAGCACCGTGCAGCTTTACAGGCAAAATAGTAAGCTCTATGGCCCTGTGTTTACGGGTGCTAGTAAGTTCAGGTGCAAGGACTGTAGTGCAGCCTATGACACTTTGGTTGGCCTGACGGTGCATATGAATGAAACGGGCCACTACCGTGATGACAATAAGGACACCGAGGATGATCGAAGCAAGAAGTGGTCCAAGCCACGTAAGCGTTCTCTGATGGAGATGGAGGGCAAAGAAGATGCCCAGAAAGTTCTTAAATGCATGTACTGTGGCCACTCTTTCGAATCCTTGCAAGATCTCAGTGTTCACATGATCAAAACAAAACACTATCAGAAAGTGCCTCTAAAAGAACCAATGCCAGCCCTCACCTCAAAGCTGGTACCCCCAACCAAAAAAAGAGCATTTCAAGACTTGATGTCCCCAAGCTCACCGGAGTCTGTTTCATCTGGTGTACTCCTGGGGGAGTCTCCCAAAGACCAAAAAGTGGCCAATCCTTATGTCACTCCAAACAATCGATATGGTTACCAAAACGGTGCCAGTTATACTTGGCAGTTTGAGGCACGCAAGGCACAAATTCTCAAATGCATGGAATGTGGCAGTTCACATGACACCTTGCAACAACTGACAGCCCATATGATGGTCACAGGGCACTTTCTCAAAGTAACCAATTCAGCCTCAAAAAAGGGCAAACAGTTAGTCTTTGATCCAGTCATTGAGGAGAAAATTCAGTCAATTCCTCTGCCACCGACTAGTACACGACTTCCTGCACCCAATGGGAAGTCACAGCCTGACTCCCCGTTGCAGCCCACTAGCCCTGAGGAGGAAAATGGAGAAAAGAGAGATGAAGATGCAGAGGAAGAGAAAATGGAAGCTAAGGAACCAGAGAAAAAAATAAAAGAGGAAAAAGAAGATACCCCTGAAAAAGCCGATCAATTTGGAAAGGTCAGATCTTACCAATATCTGAGAGAAGAAGACTTGGAAGAGGCACCTAAAGGTGGCTTGGACATCCTAAAGTCTTTAGAGAATACTGTTTCAAGTGCAATCAGCAAGGCCCAAACAGGTACACCAACTTGGGGTGGATACCCCAGCATTCATGCGGCCTATCAGCTCCAAGGATCCTTGAAGTCTACCTTGCCTTCATCTGCACAGGTTCAACCTTTCTTCAGCAGCAACAGTTTGAAGGTACTGTCGTCTGATTTAGGCACTCTAATCCATTCACCAAATAGCCCCTCTCCACCTCCAAGTCATAAGAGCAATGTGCTGGCCATGGAGGAGCTAGTTGAGAAAGTGACAGGGAAAACATCAGTAAAGAATGAAAAAGAGGAAAAACCTGTTGAGAATAGGTGCAGGTCTGCAAAGTCTCCATTGCCCAATCCTAAGGATAAACACGCTTCACCCAATCCAGACCTCTCAAAGGCAGTGAAAAATACTGCAGCAGAGGACCAGACTAAGTTAAGAGGCAAAGGAGAGCAGACAGACAGTAAAGTAGAGACACAGATAAAGAGTGAAGTTGATTCTCCAAAAAGGCCTGCAAGCAATGGCTGCAATAACCTGAGCATCATCACAGATCACTCGCCTGAACAACCACTTGTCAACCCTCTCAGTGCTTTGCAGTCTATCATGAACAACCACTTGGGGAAAGCTGCAAAAGTGGCCAGCCCCTTCATAGATCCCTTTGCAATGCTTTATAAGATCAACTCTGCTCCGATTAAGTCAGCAGAGGCTGTGAGTCAGTACCACGATGATGATGAGCAGCCCATGGACTTGACAAAATCCAAAAACACCAATGGAAAAACACCTAAGGGTACTTCTACATCTAACAACAATGGCAGCGTAAACAGCAGCAAGCCAGTTTTCAAAAACTTCTCAGAGTCTTCATCTCCGCCTCTACGGGAGAATGCTTTGATGGATATTTCAGACATGGTAAAAAATCTGACGGGCCATTTGACACCAAAGTCTACGACCCCTTCCTCCATCTCTGAAAAATCTGACATTGATGGCTGTACTTTTGAGGACAGCCTGGAGGAGCTGTCTCCCATTCAAAGACGGAAAGGTCGCCAGTCAAACTGGAATCCCCAGCACCTCCTGATTCTGCAGGCCCAGTTTGCATCTAGTCTTAGGGAGACTCCTGAGGGAAAGATTGTGATTAGTGACTTGGGACCCCAGGAACGGGTCCACATCTGTAAATTCACTGGTCTCTCCATGACTACTATCTCACATTGGCTGGCCAATGTAAAATACCAGTTAAAGCGGACAGGGAGCACAAAGTTCCTAAAAAATATTGACTCTGGCCAACCTCTGTTTTTGTGCAGTGACTGTGCTTCCCAGTTCAGGACTCCCTCCTCCTACATTCACCATTTGGAGTCCCACCTTGGTTTTACCCTGAAGGACCTCTCAAAGCTTTCCATAGATTTAATACAGCAGCAAGCAGTCAGCAGAATAGAGGACAAGACTTTTAGTTCCTCTGGTCTTACAGAAGAAGACAGTGGCTCAATATATCAGTGCAAACTGTGCAATCGGACATTTGTGAGCAAACATGCAATCAAATTGCACCTTTGCAAAACACATGGAAAGTCACCAGAGGACCATCTTATCTTTGTGAAAGAGTTGGAAAAGTTTGACAAACAATGAAGATAAAGCTGATAGCAGATTAATGTTGCACTATAACTCTCAGCTACAATCTGTCATAACAGATAGTGCCACAACTGTATTGAGCATTGTTACGACACATATTGTAATGAAGACATGGTAGCTTTAATACCACATACTGTAATTATTCAGTTATCCATAAATAGCAGGGCCTTGTATTGCAGAGGCTATGTTGTAATTTTGAATTTTTGGTGACATAAACATACCAAATTGGTGCAGCAGCCATGGCATTATGTAGTCACTGACTGGTTGTTGCTTTCCTAATGCACTGCATCTTATCTGAGCCTTTGGAAATCTCTATCTGTTGTTTAAAAACTGGACCATGCTCTTATTTTGATCACTGTTTTTGAATGATTTTTTCAAGATAAATATATTTCAACACAACTTGCATATTATTTATGAGCCAGTTTGTGCATGTTTTTATGTGAAACAGTGAGCATATTATGTCTAATGAAATTTCAACCATGATGACAAAAAGGATATCCCTGTTTTTAACAAATTTCGGATATAGATGTTTATATGAAGGATAAATGGTAAAAGTAGCCATGTGAAAGATGATCTAAAATGTTAAGATGATTTCAGCACTTTAAGGAAGTGTAAATTGATGAACAAATGAATGGGTAATGATGACAAAACCCTTTTGATTTTAATTCCCTTGATCTGCAATTTGGGCGGCTAACTATGATATCGTTTTGTATTTGCCATTCATTCACCGAAATTTTTACAAAATGTTTAGAATATAATTTCCTGGTTGTTTCAACATGTACAGTATTTGCATTAGTAGGCTATCAATTTTATTATTGTGAAGCTACAGTTGTAAAATTAATGAAGTTTAAAACTTATTGTATGAATAATCAGCAAGGATGTATACATGTATGTCAGCATATCTTGCTCTTTACAGTTCAACATTATTTGTACTGTGTGCATTTTTATAATGTTATTTTCTAGACACCTATGGGGGGAAATGTTTAAAACTACAGAATATTATCTGACCACATTGTCCTTTTTCAGTGAAAAGTAGGTCCTTCAATGTGGTTTACATAAAATGACAGAATTTTACTGGCATGATACTGTACATAACATTAAAAAATGAATTCTCACCCAATGATAGATTTCCAGGTTTTATCATGAACCCAATTATTCAGAATGACATTCTTTTATCCTCAGTTGTAAAATAAACATGTCCTGGATTAAACTGATGTTGTTTGAGTGATTCTGGAAGAGCGTGAAATCCAGTCCGATGCAATAACTGAATACTGCAAACTATTGTCAATATGTTTCAATAATCTTTGTTCTGTTTTCTTTCTTTAAAATGTTTATAAAGGTTTTATGAACATTTGTTTGTATAATATGGATGAATGGATCATCTTCTGGAGCTTCTTAGATTCTTTCAACTGACTAAGCTCTGATTTGAGTGCCAGCTGCTGGGACTGAATCCCAGTTACCCCACTTCAAGGGAGAAGTAAGTGATTGTAATCCGATACCCTTTTTGTTAAATTCAGCGAATACATCAGTGTTTGCTAGCTCTCTGTTTTGTGTGTGCTGTGAAAAAAAAAATCAGGTTTTCCTGCACAGCCCTGGCTCTTTAAACAGATAAGAAAGAAAGTGGTGTGGACCTTACCACACAACATTGTTACAGCCAATCAGCATCAGATGGCATTAATGCTCATGCACAGGGGCAGTGGGAGAGAGAGTTCTATACACCGGCATATTCGAATGTGCTCAGCTAAAGGCAAGATGGCAAGCGGCCAAAGAGTAAAATGTCTGAAGAGTATAAACAGAGAAGAAAGTTAAGCAAAGGCGTTTCAATGCTGGAGAAACCTCAGAGATTTGGGGGGGGGGCTTCTGGGGGAGCACTGAAGGGAGGGGCGTATTTGTTTGGCAATCCTGCATGTAGAGATCTTATTCCTGATTGCACTGAAATGTCCATCCAAACACCTACTGTACTGTCAGAATCATAAATACCATCCAGCGTGGCGTTTAATCACCACAGTTGTGGTGCTCTCGCTTTAAGGAGACAAACAGCTGGTCTGACTTTTTCTAGAGTTTTGTATAAATTAACATTTTGTCCTTCCTGGGGGATTGGGGGCTCAGAGGGGGTCGGGTTTGAACAGAGCACATTTGGGGAGAAATGCTAGGTTCAAATCCGGCATTTACCCCCTCACATTTTTCAGGCAGGATTAATTATAATGCACCAACAGAGCCACCTTCTTGGCTGGCTTTAATGGGACAAACACAATGACAGCCCCGTCAAATCCCCTTAAATTATTTGTCATTGAAGGGGGCTTGGAAACACTGGACCATTTCCAGGTCCCGCTGAGGGAGCAGTAGCTTTCCCTCTGTGAGCCCCAGCTCTTCTTTATCTTAGAAACTTCCATTAGAACTCAATTGTGTTTGAAACAGTGTCCCCTGCAACAGGTTTCAAAGTTCCTCAGGTGCCCGACAGAGCTTTAGTTCATTGGTTGAGGATGATAGCAGCTCCTTGCAGACTGGACTCCTTCATTGCTTTGTATGGGAAAGCAGGAGGCAGAACAGGGGAAGCAAACTGCAGGTTTTGAGTCATTTGATGTGCCACTGATTTAAAGCTGAGGAGGGATGTGAGCCAGCTCAGAGCCCGAAAGAATGATACATGTCCTTAGACAGATGCAATTAACAACATTACCTAACTAGTAGAAACCTTATCCATGAATATGGACAATTTAAACTCTTTACCACAATTGGAGATAAATCAATTTATTTCAGTGCTATAGATTTTAACATAATGTAAAATTATCTTCCGGTTAAATTTCCAACTAATTTTTAAGACCAACAACTTTATAGTATGGACAGATTATGCTGGATAATAAGAAAAATAAGTTGCAGTTTTAAAGGAGGTTATTTGCTACACTATTTCTCGTCAACACGCACTGGAGTCCTGTTGTCACAATGAGGTTGCCACATAGCCCCCCATGAAACCACAACTTTACACCTCCAGGTTTTTGTACTGATAAACCTGACAAGATACTAAGTGTTAATTAGTGAGCTTTAGAGGTGCTGGTAGGTGGATTACCTTTGGGCACAGCTAGGCCCACTTTTCCAGTCTTTATGCTAAGCTAAGCTAACCGGCAGCTTGTTGTAGCTTCATACAAGAGAATGGTATTGATTTTCTCATCTAACTCTCATAAAGAATGCTAATAAGTGTATTTCCCCAAATGTCTAGTTTTTTTTTGGTCCAATCTCTTTGGTAGCAGGTTTCCATCTATTATGTTGATTCCATCCAGTTACAGTTATGTACCAACAGCTGCTACAAGAAGAAAGCCAACTTTGCGTTGTGAAATCTTCTAATGCAGCCCCCGGTAGCTTGTGAGCACAATTATTATCATCTTTTTTGCGTATCTCTTTTACTACATGGCACCTTGTTAGTATGACATGTTTTCATATACAATTCAATTCCATCTAATCCATCGTCAACCGCTTATCCTGTGTACAGGAGCCAATCCCAGCTGACATTGGGCGCAAGGCGGGGTACGCCCTGGACAGGTCGCCAGTCCATCGCAGGGCATCACACACAGACAAACAACCACTCACGCTTACACTCGAGGACAATTTAGGGTCACCAATCAACCTAGTCCGCATGTCTTTGGATGGTGGGAGGCACGCAGACACGGGGAGAACATGCAAACTCCACACAGAAAGGCCGGGGAAACCAGGGTTTGAACCCACAACCTTCTTGCTGTGCGGCGACAGTGCTAACCACTGCACCACCGTGCTGCCCAATTTGCACCCCATGATGAGTAAATGTGTATAAGCAATTTCAAATAGAGACATAATCCCTTTTAGGGGAAAAAAGTGAATAAAATGTCATAAAAAAACAGGATTTGACTTTATGGTTTAACATAGAGCTAAGCTTTACAGTTCAGCCAGTCAGACACCTGATAAAAGAGGCCATGGTATGTCTCTACTGAAGGTATTTAAGTCGACACCCCACGCAGCTCTTGAACACTAGCCTGAGGCATTTTTCCCAAGAAACAATAGAGTTCCAGTGCCTCGCAGCGCGCTCTGTGTGGCAGGGAAACACGAGAAGCAGCAGTGAGATATACAGAGGAGTGTCACATACAATAGAAGTCACATATAGCATGATAGATGGCAACATGCAAGAGTATAATGTACAGAAGGTTAACTAATGTCCGCAATAAGGATGACTGATTCAACAGAAACACATAATAAACAGACAATTTGGAAGGATCTTCAACTTCTCTTTCATTAATAATTGTCTAAAATGCCTTTTCATTTTAGTAATCAGTCTAGTTCAAAATAGCAAATATAGGACATCTCCAAACCTGACCATTGGGGCTTGTCTGACACCTGTCTTTTGCCTATGATGAGGCAAAAGAAATGTTTTGTGAAGTTTGAATACATACAAGAGCATTACATACAGGAGCAACACCAAGATGTCCCATTTAGGATCATTTAGTCATTACATGTATTATGACGTTGTGAATGTGCAGCCACAGACGTGTTTCATACATGGTTTCTAAAACAAGCCATCTTTGTCTTGTCACAAAAGATACACAAGCTCAACATATGACTTTGTCAGGCAGTCAATGTTTTGTTTGTTCTCTTGTGACTCTTGTTTGCTTTAAAGCAAACACAAAATAAATTGGCTCTATGTCATCACCATTACCAGGTGAGCAGCCGCTCACGAGACAGCAGCACAAATCTGATGTTAAACAAAAGGGTGTTCATGACAAGAGGCGTCGTGATGCAGCCTGTCATCCATTTATAATAATCAAAATGGAAAGCTGCGAGTCGTAGTAAGCTGTTCTGCTACATCTGTACATCCATGAAGTATTACGTGTCAGCGAGATGCACATGATGGTGCAGGCAGTGTTTCAATCCTTGTGACATGCATATCGGGTGTATTCATGCCTGCAGTAAGGATTCAGTGAATTAACCTCGTGCTCTCTTTACCCCCCTCACTGCTTTCTGGGCAACCTTCTGCTGATCACAACTCTGTACAACAAGACCTCGCTTTCAAAACACATGTGCTGTCTAGAAGGAAGAATTTGTTGAATTCTCTCCTCTCCTCTACAGTAATAAGACTGAACTGGAGAACTTGCCGCTGCACAAAGTGCTTACAGTGACTTATTTTGTGTTATTTTCAATAGCGATTTATTATTTGACAAAATCGGTCATCATGCTTTCCATAACAATGGTTATTCTACAATAAAACAGAAATTTAATGTAAAGTTAATATTCTCATAAGAATATTAACTTTTAATCAAAACATATTCATACAGTATTTATAATTTCAAAAAACAGATCTTCCTCTCCAGTTGCCAATGGCCCCAAAGAGCTCTACCAATCAAAAACTTAGAGCAGCAGCCTGTGTTTAACCTGAGAGGGGAACACAGGGCAAAACAAGTAATTGCTGCGAATGCACGGTAAAACTTGAAGGATGGCTAATTAACATTTCCGAGCTTCACTCACATTAACTATGATCATATGTGTCATTTATGCTGGGGACATGTCCCCATCACTTTTTGAAAGGATTTGTTAAAAATGTTTTGAAAAGTAGTTTGCAGCTAGAGATGTTAACTAACAAAAGTTTATTTGCACAATAAGAAAACATGCAATGCAATTTAAATATAGAAGAAACAAATGTGCACTGTCCAAAAAAGTAACTTTTAAAAGTAAAAAACAAGCAGCTGATTACAACATTATATTCTTTTATGTTTTTATAGTTATGAATTGCTTCCTGCCAGCTGACTTTTGTTTCCCTTTATATATGTAATGCCATTTCTAGCATAAATTGGAGCAGAAAATATCTCCTGAATGCAGAAATTAAGTGTTTAATACTCCAATTTTGTGTGTGAGGATCCCCCAGACCCCTCTCATATATTTTAGCATTTCATATTTCACATCTTGTGACCCAAGTGTATCATCACTCCCCTAATCTGAGCCCTTATGTCCCCACCACTTTTCAACACAATGTGACGCCCTTGACTATGACATCTGGACACTAAGAGGATACTGTTTAGAGAGACTTCAGTGCGTAAATCAATGCGAAACAGTAAAAATGGCTGAAGGGGCACTTAGGACATAGGATTGGTGCCACTTTATAAAGTGTTTATAAGTTGTAATTAATGGCTTTATTAATGGGTAATTGTCTATGCTTAATGCTTTAAATTAGCCAGTTTTCCATTAATAAGGAAA